TAAGGGATTTCTCAGTGTTGGGTAAGACTCTGTCTGGGAGAGTAGACTATCAGTGAGTTTCTCTATTTGTTTATATAAATGGGCCAAAGCCTTTTGAAGTACTTCAGAGCACTTAACTAAAGCAAACAAGCACTTGAACTAACAAGAGGGGCTATTGACAAGTATAACTTTACTTAGTTAATCTTAATATCATTGAGAACTTTAATTCATACAGTTTTATTGTGGTACATGAAGGGAGATACCAGACTCTTATATCAGCTTAGGCTCCACATACAAGACTTGCAAAAGATGAAAACAGAACTGCTGCTGATTGTGCCCTTTTAATTATATTTTTTAAGATCACCCCCTTCACTTTTTCATGAATGACAACCCTGGACCAATAATAAATGTCAATAGAGCTATTCCTTCTTTTTGAATCAGACAGGAATTACTCCCCACCCCTTTCCTCTAAATGATACAGAAAGTGGATGTTCCTAGATGGCAATTTTTGATAAGTGCACACATCTCTAAAATGAATTGTGAAGACATGATGATATTGTGAGTAATTTTATTTCTGAAAATATAACACAATTTTTTTTTACCCCAGTTGTGCTGATCATATCTAATGCTGAAATTGGCACAAGGTTTCTCTTCCCACTTATTCCAGTGTAGCCCCTGGGCTTTAACAGTGGAATTATTCCTAAATTATATAGTCATAAATGAAAAGAAAACTTGGTTCTGTAGGTGAAATTCTTCAATTGTTGAATTCCTGATTTACTGTGAATTATTAACCATAATCTATCTAGACAAAGTTTGGTGAACATGATGCTCAGTTCCCAGTGGATGGATAAGACTGTGAGAGTGAGCTACATTACAAAAAATACATGGTCAATGTTCAACATTCAACCAATAGTCAGTCATGTTTCTGGGGCAACACTTGAGAGTGTGTGTGGTTTTTTTAAAGGTTTTAAGCACATCCCTTTGGGTGTACAAATATATAAGATAAATACTAGGGAGTTGGTTATCTACAATTACAAGTCTTTCTCCCACAGAATAATACAGTCTGAGACAAATATACATTTTTCTGGGAAATCAGCCTCCCAATGGATAATCTGAAAGATCATTTTATTGCCTTGTAGGCTAAAACACTGACGCTTTCATTCTTCTAGAATGTAAATTTTCAAAAAAAATTGCATTTAGGTTCAGGTTCCAAAAAGGTCACCTTTCATAATGCCAGTCTGAATGATGCAGTTTTCCTTTAGGGTATGTCTACACTGCCACCGTAGTTAGAACTAGGGTGGCTAATGAAGTCATTCGAACTTGCAAATGAAGCCCTGGATTAAAATATCCCAGGCTTTATTTGCATGTTTTCGGGCGCAGCCATTTTTAAATGCCCGGTAGTTCGAACTCCCTGCACGCGGCTACACGCGGCATGGGCTAGGCAGTTCAAATTAAAGCTCCTAATTCAAACTACTGTTACTCCTCCTGCAATAAGGAGTGACAGTAGTTCGAATTAGGAGCTTTAATTCGAACTGCCTAGCCCGTGCCGCGTGTAGCCGCGGGCAGTGAGTTCAAACTATCGGGCATTTAAAAATGGCGGCGCCCGGGAACATGCAAATAAAGCCCGGGATATTTTAATCCCAGGCTTCATTTGCAAGTTTGAATGACTACATTAGCCACTCTGGTTCGAACTAGGGCGGCTAGTGTAGACATACCCCCACATAGCATAAAATATGACTATAAGGTTGTCATGAATGTATATTTATTTGTTTCTTCAGACTTCAATTAGTTGTGTGCTTACAAAACAGTAGAAACAACATGAGTGGTTCATTATGGCATTTGCACCCCTTTTAGGCCAAACATTTATGGCTTTGCCTTCTGAAATAAAGAAGACATGACTATCTGGAATGAGGTAGACCCACCTAAACCACAAAGTTTGGATCTAAATCCCCAACTTTCCCAGAGATCGAGGATTTTCAGATCTGACCATATCCATCTTAAAAAAGAGAAAGGAAGTAAGAGGGTCAGGAAGGAGGAAGTATTAGATGTAAAGAGTTCATATCTATTATTGGGTTATTTCCAACTGGGGTAAGAGAACAACTGAAAATCATTCCAGAAGAATGTAAGTTTCAGTGTTTTAGCCTACAAAAAAACCTTATGTCCTTTTTAAAGCCAAGAATGTATTGATCCATGAACAGAATTTTAACCTTTGAAATGACCAAACTTCTGTTAGATTAATCAAAAAATGTAGTATTTTAGGATAATGCCTTATGGTCAAGTGTATGGCTTGTTCTGTTAAAAAATATTCATTTGAGAGTGTAAACTATGAGTGTCTAGGCACAGTTGCTGAAGAAAATAGCTGTTGAAATTCCTTGATACTCTAAGTTATAATTGAGTTTTAATGCATAAAATGGCTGAGTAATTTAAATGTTTGGAAAAGAAAACTGTCCTTCCCAGAGTTTATGAAGTGGTAAGCCAATTTCTTATAACAATTAAATGTGAATCATCATTCCAGACATGAGCATCTACTAACATATGGTCCATGCAACTGATGCTGTAGAGTAACAGTTTTACGAAATTAATAATAAAGGGCCCAATTCTGATCTCAATACGTTTTTTGCACTAATGAAACATTATAGATTTGTGTTGTATTACTCCTGACTCACACTGGTGAACAGCAAGTAAGAACAGAACTAAGCCCTTGTTGTTCTAGCAGCCTCTTAATATATCTGGGAATAAAAGGTATAAATCATAACATTCCCACAAAGAGACTGAAAGCAAAAAGAACATTGGTAATATCAGAAAAATAATATAATAATCATTAATAAAAATGCTGTAAGGAGAACATATATATTACAAGGAGAGTGAGAAGAAGTAGGTACAAGACAGAAAGTGTGCCTTTTGGTAATAATAATGTCCCAAATGACACAGAATTGTAAAGCACAGATGGAATATGAGGGCAACAAAAGATACTATAATAATTTAGAATACAGTGCAAGTAAGCAACCAGATCTAATTATTTGGAAAGCTCTCAAAGATCCTGTGACTTTGAGTGCACTTAAGTAAAAAGAACTGAGAAATTAAAGAGAAGAAAAGTTCGGAATAGATGAGTTGAGACAGAAAAAGAGAGGCAAAGAAATAGAGGGAGTGGGAGCAAAAAAAAAAAAAAAAGATAGTTTATATGTATTTATACAGCAGCCATCAACAAGGTATCCAAGGACTTTACAAAATTGCCAAGGTCCATACCAACCTGAATCTCTGGATCTATCCCTCTTTAAAAAAAATTAAGGTTTTGTTTTTTAAAACGTGAAATGGTTTACTATTTATGATTATAGTCATTATTGTGAGAGGCTACGATTAGACTTGCATTTTATTGGGAATATGTTTGAGATCTAAGGACAGGAATTCCACAACTATGGCCAGTGCCTGAAAAACCTCCATCTCCCACAATAATGCACCTCAGCTTTGTCAGCAACAGTCCCATTGTGCCCGCAGATAGACCTATTATGGTATATAATAGTTATAAGGAAGAAAGATAGTCCTGTGGCAAACCAGCACCCAGGGATTCCAGGGTTAAAAGACTAGGTCCAGAACCTTCTCTTCTACCTAGAATTCATTGCGAAGCAGACAGAGAAACCAAGAAAAAAAAAGACTATAAATAGTGGCAGGGGTTCCAAAATGTATGTCTACATAGCACTTTGCCAATCTTGCAATGGGAGCTAAACAGATTGATATCTCCCCTCCCTGAGGTCTACCTGAAGCCCACTTAAATTCATAACAGCTCTGTGTGACTGGGGGTCTGTTCAGGCAGAGCAGCTTCCAAAACAGGGACTTAAATCAGAGCCTCTTGTTAAGATTTTTCCCCCTGCTACACAATCTTCTTCAGTGAAGGTATTTACCGTTTTTATACTTTCTTAAGCATATGAATTAAGTCCATGTGAGCAAAAAAATACAGCTTAACAGGATGGAATCTCTATCTTTAGCTTATGTTGATATGGAAAGTAACCTCTGACCAGGAGGTAGTCTAATGTGATATGTGATGGGCATTACAGTTAGGTTAAACATAGAATTTCAGCTGTGCTCTGAATTTTTCTATGTTTGAGGGTTTAAATCACTAAGCATTGGTTTAGTGCAGGCTATGTGGTTCTAGATTCACCCCACCCCCACCATTTGTTTGTTTGCTCTGTTTGAAAATTAATAAAAGCAAATCATCAAAGGTATTGCAGAAGTAGAGATCAATTTACCTGGTTCTTTGTAGAGTAGCTAAAAGACACGAAATTATTGTTTTTCTGTACTGCCAACTCCATCCTAAATATTATGTTGTCAGAACTGTCTGCATCCCCTACACACTACATGTGAACATCCCTATTGTAGCATTTTCGTTTTCTAACTACTTGTCTGAGCACAATTACTTAACCAGTTAAAAAGAACTCAATGTTCTTTAAAGTGTCATTAAAGTATAAGATAACAGTTTTGTTTCATAGATATTTCCCTTTACAAAAGGCATCTTATTATGCAACCAAGTCGTTTAGCTTTTATAGGGCCTGATCCAAAACATGTCAATTCAAATAAATCAAGTACATAACAAATAATTCCCATACAATGCACTGTGATACCTACTTGGTAACTTCTATGATTTCAATCAATCATGGCTGATAGTCTCAGATTTTTCCACAACAATAGTACGGTTTTATTGTTTCTTCTATATAATGTATTGAAAGATTAAAATATCGACAAGTTTGTGATCAGTGACTACCTTTCTTTGACAAGCACTGATAATCAAGACACATAAGCTGAATTCCCTAGACTCTTTGGAAAGTCTTGATCTGAGTCTAGATTTAAACATATTAGCTGTGATCCATATTAAATATTTGTATATTTCTATGAAGCAATATATTTGAGAAAAGGAGGCTAAGTAAATGTTCCTGGTTCTAATCACCCCCTCCCCTGGAGGTTCATTGGTGTACATTTCACAAGACACTTGTAGGCCAGAAGGAAATGACTCCCCTTCGTGAACTCACCATCCTTTTCTAGTCACAATGCATTGCATTAGAAAAGATCGGAACGGTGTTTAAATATTTTGTTGGGTTTTGTTATGGCCAGATCGCTCACTTCCTCTGGGACACACAAAGTCTCCTCGGGCAATCAAACAGCCAAAATGTCAGCAAATCCTATAGAACAGAAAACGGTCTGTCAATGTAAAGCCTAAATGAATCTCCATTTAAAAAAAAAAAAAAGCAACATCCACCTTTTATTAACATTTTTTTCCACTCTCTAGAAACTTTTTAACAGCGTTACAATGTATTCATCACAAGGTGCTATTAAAGCTCAGCTCACTTCAAGTGTTACCAATTCATGGACAGATTAGAGGGCACATTAATAACATAGTTAATATGAAGTGTTTAGAGCTTTTACGTCGGTGACAAATACGACTCAACCAAATTTCCTGACCATTGAGGCCACGGAGGAACAATTTGGTAGATTTCATCAACAGTTCTAATTATGTTCCTGTCAAGTCGAGAACAAAGTAATCCATAACTGGGGGGCTGCTCAGAGACAGTGGCACACAAGAGTAATTTATGCCCAAGACACAGGGCCCTTTCTGTAGTTAGTGTGCACAACGCTTGACTAACAAGTGGGTTCAAAAAGGAATTTATTAGGGAAAATACAGCTCTCTAGCTCTGAGTGGCTTGTCAGGAGTAAGCTTATGAGGAGTTATGAGGCAAAGACTTCAAGTAAGTCCTGTTTATAGAAGCATCTGGAGTTCATGCTCTCCACAGCCTCTGTAACTGCATGTTGTAAGATTCAGGATTTCAGCCCCAGACTTTTCCTTAACTGCTGATCTAGTTAAAACCACCTCTCTGTAGAGGGATTAAAAGAGAGTTTAAACATGACCCTTCCCCCTTCTCCCCCCCAAAAATTGATAAATATGATATTTAATTGAGGATTCAACCTACATGTTATTTTCTTTTGAGAGAGACCTTTTTTGATTCTATAAATAACAGACTAATGAAACATGCAAAGGAATTATTAGTAACAGTAAACTAAAATGTCACAGTACACGGTGAATGTTTCATGCTGCAGCTGAACCAGAGACAGACTGAGAAAAAGGAAGGGGGAGAAGAGAAGGGGGGAAAGCTGTCATGTAATTTTGAGTCATTTTCCACTGTGATCTATATTGGGATGCAGCTTCCATTCTTTCAAACTAGGTAATTTTATATATGACATTCTTGTTACATTTTGCAAAAAAGGTAAAAATGCCTCCCTAGTGCTAGGAAATGGATCAAGGCTAGAAACACGCAATCAGGGGTTGTTATCTTTATTAGCAATATGCTATTAGTACAAATAAAATATTTTTTTAATTGAATTAAGAACAATACTTAAAATTTGGAAGGAAAGCAAAACTAAGAGCCTTAGCAAATAAAATTTTTAAAAATCTCTGCATAACTCTATATGATTTAGTTGGGGTTGGTCCTGCTTTGAGCAGGGGGTTGGACTTAGTGACCTCGTGAGGTCTCTTCCAACACAAATCTTCTATGATTCTATTACTTCCCAATGGTTTCTGCTTAGTGAATCTTAAAACAGAGCTCTCTGTAGGTGCCTGTGAGGCTACGTCTACACTATGAATTTTCTTGTGTGTCTTTCTTGTTAACTAAAGACATAAAACTGAAGGCCATAATGCACACTCAGGCTACATCTACACTATGAGTTTTCTTGGCAAAAAATATGCTAACAAGGGACTCATTTGTATGAGTCGTGATCTCATTTGCATATTTTCTGCTGATCCGTTTTTTCACTAGGATTTTTGTGCAAAAACAAACAGTGTGAATGTTCTCTTTTTGCACAAAAATCCCTTTTCCCACAAGATCCTTATGCCCCCAAAAAAGGAGATATACCGATCTTGCGGGAAAAGGGATTTTTGCGCAAAAAGAGAACGTCTGCACTGCTTCTTTTTGCACAAAAACCCCAGTGAAAAAATGGAGCTACATAAAATATGCAAATGGAATTGTGACTTATGCAAATGGGTCCCTCGTTAGCATATTTTTTGCTGAGAAAACTCATAGTGTAGATGTAACCTGAGTGTGCATCATGGCCTTCAGTTTTATGTCTTTAGTTAACAAGAAAGACACACATTCAAATCTTTAAAAACTTTGTCATGTTACACTCTCCTCTTTGATAGTGGAATAAATAGACTTATAAAACAGCTGCCAATCTGACCAAAGAAACAATGTCATTTAAAGGCCTGAGGATTCTAGTCCTACTCCAGATACTGACTGGGGATGTGGCCATGGGAAAGTCCCCCAATATCTCCTTTCTCCAGTTCTAAAATGGGGATAACAGCAATACTTTCCCTCCAAGGGTTGCTGCAAACATTCAGGCTTTTGCCCAATTGTATTCATATGCAATCGTGTATACATTCAAGGTTTTTGGTTTAGGAGCCATGTTGTTCATCCGGTCTACTGAGTTTTCTGTGCTAGTTCAATACAACCCCTCAGTAAAATTTTGGTACAAGATAAGAACAATGATATCTATGAACATAGAACAAAAAACACTATTATCTCGCCAATTTCAGAATGTATCACCAGCACCTGTACTTTCTTCCTTTTTCATTTTGGGCAATTTCCTGAGGGCTATTGAATAAAACAGTACTGTTCTCTAGGAGCTTAAGCCTCACAATTAAAACCCATAAGGTAGGAGTGAAGTTTTAACTGTAGCTGACTGGAGGATGGACATTCTGTTGCACAGAAACCTTTGAGGATCCAAGATTTTTTTTCGCTCCACACTGAAACAAAAATGTTTTCATGGAAAAAAATGTGTGTAAAAATGCACACATTTTCTAATTGAAAAGTTACCATTTTCATTTAGGAAAGATGTGTCTACATGTCCCAGTGAGAGAGAGGATGTGTGAAGCCGGGTGTTAGGACACCAGTCTCTCTGTTGTAGGGAACCCAAATTTAAGGTCCTGGTCTAACAGATATGTTAATCTCAGCTCATTGTGACTCAGATAGAACAGGGAGTTGAACTTCTATTGCCCCCAGACCCAGACAGTGCCCTAACCACAAGGCTATAGACAGGGGCGGATATAGGGCAGGGCGAACGGGGCGGCCGCCCCGGGCCCCGCACTTAAAAAAGCCCTGCGCATGCGCCGTGGCGCCACCGCGCATGCGCAGTGGCAAAGGGGGGGCCCCGCGGAGTTATGCTGCCCGAGGCCCCGCAAAACAGTCATCTGCCCCTGGCTATAGAGCATAAAATTCAGGTTCTTGGTCTCACACCTCACTCCCCTTCCTCTCCGCAATACATACTCTTCTTCTCTCTTTGCCCCACCTCCTCCTCCGTCCCTCCCTCCCACTGTTTAGAAAAAGTTTTAGTTGAAACTGAAGCATCTCAACTAAAAAAGTTCGGCTTTGCTGAAATTTCATTTAAAATCGAAAATGTGCCAACTGGCTCCAACTGTAGCCAGATGGAGAAATAGAGCAAAAGTGATGTTAAATCACACAGGTTTCTGAAGCAGAGCCAAGAGAAGCACCAGATTTTACAAGTCCCAGTCTTGTGCTTCAGCCACAAGACAACCCTTCCTCTCCTTATGAGCGGCAGTGCTGCCTTTGGGCTTACGTTAGAGAACACATTTTAACAGAAGTGTGGCACAAGCATGATGACCCCATTACATTTTGAAATCTAATACCTTGTGAATGAAAGCCGGAAAACTCATTTAGTGCCTTATCAAATCTCTAGTTTGTATGTAGAGCATAAACTGGCTACATTTGCTAATAGGGCAGATTGACCCATCCCATATATTATCAAAACTCATCAAAGTCTGCTGGAGGACATAGCTACAGCCACTCATTATCCTTTGCATTAACTTCCTCACTAGCACCTCTACCAATATATTTTCCTGTAATACAACTGTCTTGATTTAGCAGAGAAGAAAAATCAGCAATTTGGAACATTACAGCAGTTAAAGAGCGATAACAGGACTTAACCCATCATGGTATGCTGCCTCCCCATTCTATCTACTGGGTGCAAACTGAAGCTTGCAGTCCTCGACTTACACTGCAGTTATGCATTGCTGGGTCCTGGAGCATCACACCATTAAATAGATTGATATTTTGAGCATTATACATACAGATTATTTCCCCAAAATGTATTAAATACATGACAGGGGCAAGGGGAAAAACAAAAAGACTTAAGGAACACCTTCAAATTTACACCAAGGTGTGTTTTTCAGACAAATGATAGCTTATAAAAGAGCAACATATAATTTAGTAACCAGAAAAACTGGATGATGGAATTAGCTTAGTTATAACAATACAAGTGCAAACATCATTATATGTTTAGATGCTGTAAAGTCCTCTACCTGGATGTATGGTGTGTATTGTTTTATCCAGAACACTGTTCAATTGTGGGGGTATAATCTTGAGGAATAGTGTGTCTGGAGTCACACATCCTGCATCCCTGGCTCTTGTGTGTGATAACACAGGACATAATGATCACATTTTTACTATTCTTTCCACTCCTCTCTCCCAACCCCATGCCATCTATGATTTCCTTGTGGAATCCACTGCACAGCTGGCTAGGAACATGACCCAGGTTTATTCACCTTCCTCTAAAATATCAGGTGCTAGCCATTACCAAAATGTATGAAAGCAGAAGGGATGATGGTCTAACTCAGTGTTTCTCAACCAGTGGTACGAGTACCCTTAGGGGTACTCACAAGAGAAGTCTGGGGGGGGGGTATGTCAACACAACTGGAATTTAGAGGAAACTGAATTTTTGTTTTAAGTTTTATAGCACGTTTTTATTTTTGTACTTTTTACACCCAAAAATTTCATCGCCCTCCCGGCTACGATTAAGTTGTTTAAACAAATGTGTTGCAATGGTAGAAAAAAAATGGTGTGTCTGAAAACTGTATTTATATTTTTAAAGGAGTATTTTATAAAAAAAATGTTGAGAAACACTGGTCTAACACAGTCCTATTTCAAATTTCCCTCAGTAAGGTTAATACAGACATGGATCACAAAGCCTCCTATGCCTTGCACAGATCTGGATAACATGAAGAGCTATTGTATGCAGGACAGCTGATGACCTATCATCATCATCATTTTGTGACCTGAAGTACCAGCCACTAGTAGGGCAACTCTGGGTCTAGATGGAAGGGATATAAAGCTCCAAA